ACCTGACACAAGCCATGATATTTCCAATTGCCTCGTATGCATGTGAGAGCCGGACAATCAATAAGTAAGACTGAAGAAGAGCTGATGCTTTTGAGTTGTGGTGCTGGCAAAGAATGTTGAAAGCACCATGGACTGCTAAAAGAACTAACAGATCTGTTCTGGAGGAAGTGCACCTGAAGTGCTCCTTGGAAGTGAGAATGGCCAGATTTTCATCACCTACTTTGGTCATCTTGTCAGACGGGACCATTCCCTGGAGAAGAATGTCATGCTTGGTAGGGTGGAGGGGAAGGCCTTCAACGAGATGGATTGACATGGTGGCTGCAATGATGGGCTCAAGTATAGCAGGGATCGTGGAGCTGGCGTGAGATTGGGCAGTGTTTTGTTCTGCTGTGCATGGGGTCGCTATGGGTCAGAAATGACTCGACAGCACCTAACAACAACAACAACAAATCAACTACAGTTTTCTAGGGAGAAGATCCATAGCATTCTCCAAGAATTTTAAATCCCAAGGAGGGTAAGAACCACCATACTAGACAGAAATATAGCTTCTTCTGGAGGGAGTCCTTGAGTGGTGCAGATGCTTAACATGCTTGGCCGCTAACCTAAAGGCTGAAGGTTCAAATCCACCCAGAGGTGCCTTGGAAAAAAAAGTCTGATGGTATACTTCTGGTAAAAAAAAATAACAGCTATTAAAAATCCTATGGCGCGCAGCTCTCTTTGACACACATGGAGTTGTAAGGGTCCACTAAAAAGCAACTGGTTTAGCTCCTTCAAGAAAAAAAAATAAAATAAAATACCACCTCACTGCCGTCGAGTCATTTCCAACTTATAGCGACCCCTCCTTGGGTTTCTGAGGTGGTATCTCTGTGGAAGTAGATTGCCCCATCTTCCTTTTGAGGAATGGCTGGTGGGTTTGAACCGTCAGCCTTCTGGTTAGCAGTCCAATGTCTTAGGCAGTTTAGAGAGGTAATTGATATTTCAAAAATAATACATTTTACCAAATCACTACTGCTCTCATTAAAGGGAAGTTTTCCAGCAGCCATCTCTTTTGTTGTCCATTCATTAACTGGCCATGTTGGGGTAGGCTTAGACTTGATTGCACTGAAAATCTTGGCTTCCTGACAAAGGTTAGCTTTCCAGAGGAAAGTTACAGCCTGAGAACTGCAGCAGCAATATGACCTCTCCAGGTTCTGCCCTCTCCCGCACCCCCGTCCTCTGCCAAAAAAAGTCTTTATCCTAGGAGGAAGAAAGATCCTGAAGGCTGAGAAACTGTTGCATGACTCATTAAAAAGTAAAAGTAATCGCTCCAACTGAAACTGCTGCCTCTAGAAGGGAAGACAGGCAGCACAAAAATGAGGTTAGAAACAAGGCAATTAAAAGAATTATTTACTATTGGGGAGCTCTGGTAGCATAGTGCCCAAGGCACTTGACTGCTAACCAGAAGGCTGGCGGTTCAAACCCACCAGCCACTCCTTGGAAGGAAGGTTGGACAATCTACTTCCATAGTGATACCACCTCGGAAACCCAAGGAGGGGTTGCTATGAGTTGGATTCAACTCACGGTAGTGAGTTGGGTTTTTGGTTTATTTACTATTGAATAATAAGTACTCCTTATTAATAATTGTATGAGTAGGTTTAATGACATTGAAAGTTACGTGTTCTTAAAAAAGCAGCAGGAGAGCAATTTTCCCATGATTTTCTCATTTATTCTTTCCTTATTTTCTAAAAAAATTTAAATTTATTGTTGTAGGCTGGGTTCTCTAGAGAAGTAAAACCAGTGAATTTTATATATATATATATGGAGACAGAAATTTATCTGAAGGAAATGGCTCACACAGGTGTGGAGGCTGGCAACTCCCAAGTCCATGGGTCAGACTTGAAGGTGGAGGCTTCTCCTGACTCATGTAGCTGCAGGCTCTGATGAGCCCAAGATTAGCAGGCAATACCGCAGACTGCTGGCTTCAGAGGCTGACGAATCCAAGATCATTAGGCAAGTTGGTAGGCTATTAGCTCACAGGTTGCAAAGGCAACAATGCCAAGATCAGCAGGCAATATGGCAGCCCACTGGTTCAAATCCCAGAACCAGAGGTCAGATGATGACAAGCCAGATGCAGGAGCCAGATTGGGCAAAAAGCCAGAGAGCTTTGCCAGAGCTCTTCTATATATATTGGAAACAGGACACACTCCAAAAGAAACGCCCTTTCAACTAATTGGCTTCTCATAGCAGATCTTATCATGCTTTTGTTGTTGTTTGCCATCAAATTGGACCCGACCCGTAGCGACCCCTCCTTGGGTTTCCGAGGCAGTATCACTATGGAAATAGACTGCCCAACCTTCCTTCCGAGGAGTGACTGTTGGGTTTGAACCATCAGCCTTCTGGTTAGCAGTCAAGTGCCTTAGCCACTATGTGACCAGAGCTCCTTAGATCTCATTATGGAGGTGATTCTATTTTATCAGATCTCATCATGGAGGGCTATCATAACTGCTCAACCCCTTAGAATCGTGGCCCAGCCAAGTTGATACACAACCTTAACTATCACATTTACTAACATTTATTTATCTAGAAATGTTTTCTAATTTCCCTATATTTTCTCTCACTTGCATGTGTCTTTCAGAAAGCTGTTCATCATTACATTCTTATCTTCCTTTAACGTATTTCAGACTTACTAGACCAGTAATTCATAACTGAGGAAGGAGGGTCAGAGAAGAAAGGGAGAATTGGGAGATAGGGAAGAGATGTACACAGATTGAAAAAAGCACATTCAATATTACCATCGCTCTGAGTTTTTCAGCCACGACAGTTGATATATTTTGAAATTTCAAGAAACATTAAAAGGTGGGTTTTTTTTTTTTTTTTTATGTTGATTCACATAACGGAGTATGAGTTAAAACATGTTTGACAAACACTGTCCTAAATTCATGTTGCTTTACACTAGAGTGGGATAGTACAATGAAATGTCAGCTCACACAAAAACAAACCAAAATTCTAGGAATTCTTTATACTGGAGAAGATAATAAGGAGTAACATGCCCCTGCAGGAGAGTCAACTGAGATCATTAATCAGAATAAGTTTGGAATTTAAATTTGACTTTGGCAAAGTAGGAACTTTCCTACCTACCTGAAGCACACCTACACTTATCAGAAATAGGTGTACTTAAAACATTTATACAGCATTTCAAAGTTGGTGATCTTCTAAGGCAGGGAACAAAGTTCTTAGGTTGCTTCTTTTCATCCACAAGAAAAGTCACAGCCATAATCTTTATTTTTTTGACACAACAAGTGGAATTAATAACAGTAAAAGGCCAGATTATTAAAAATTGTGTCTTCACTTCATCACCGTTCTCACTAATTCCTGGGCCAATTGGAGCAGAAGAATTGAGAATTAAGGAGAAGTTGGAAATTTCCTTAACCTGTTGGCAGCAGTCACGGCATAGAAATGTTTCTTGAGATAAGGGGAGAGATAAGAAAAGGAAAAGCATAGTTTTAGACCAATTACTTTAAGAAGAAACAATGAAAAAACTTAAGTCTAGCCGCTTGAGTTTGTTTAAACCTTATAGTCCAAAGGGAAAAACAAGTTTCTAGAGTATTACAGTTGAACAGTCATGTGGCTTTCAGGGGCATGTACAGAATAAATATGAAACAAAAAGATATGTTACCCTGCCCTTTTTACATGAAAACTAGAGCACCTTAGTGTTTTTCAAATTGTGGTTCACCACCCACTAGGGGATCATGAAATAAAATTGATGGGTTGTGACCAGCATTTTTTTTTTTTTTTTCAATGAAACCAAATGGCATAGAATAGAAAATAACAAAGTGCCTCATTCCCTGTTAGGGAAAACGTCCTGAAATGTTTGTGCCATCTATATGTGCACATATATATGTATACTTGCACACTGGCGTCCTAGGTAAAGTGTTTTGTTTTTGCTTACTACTAAGGACTTGAGTCAATATCAAACTGTTGGCAAGCCACTTCCCCAGAAGGACAGTAGCTTTTAAAATAGGTTTATGTCCACATACTGAAGAGTTCTGTTGTTAACAACATTGAAAACCTTTTAAAGCTTAACAGCGCTACCCACCTCAACTCTGACATGTAGGAGAACCAGGCCTTAAACTGCAAGCAGTTAGTTCCAACAGCATCACTTGCTATTACTTTTGAGAGCATATGCTCCAGATTCATTGTGTCACTTCAAGGGTCCAACTGAACGCCCCTTCAACAGCAGTAATACTTAGGTCTGCGGCATTTTTAAACACTATCTTTTGACATGAGGAAATTTGTTATAGATTGAATTATGTCCCCTTGAAAAAAACATATGTTGATATCCTAACCCTGTGCTTGTGCCTTGACCCTATTTGGAAACAGGGGTTTTCCTTTGTTACGGTAACAAAGTCAAACCAGGGTAGGGTGGGTCCTAACCTAATCTCTTCTGACTGGTGTCTTATGAAAAAAGCAGAAGAGACACGTGACTCACAGACAGAGAGAAAAAAACACTATGTGAAGATCCTTCGGAAACCAAGGAATGTCAAGGAACAAGGAATAACCTTCCCCTAGAGCAGATGCCCTGATCTGGTCTTCTAGCCTCCCAACTGTAAAGCAATAAATTCTTGTTCTTGAAAGCTACTCACTTGTGGTATTTGTATTATGACAATACTAGGCAGCAGAATTTTTCTTTTTCTTTTCTCCCTAAATAAATTTTCCATTTAAATAAAAATGCAAGTAAAAACTTAGCTACAATTCTTTCAAAGGCTCTATCAAGGAGACAACTGCTGTCTTTAATAAAAGAAAAAAAAATACCTTCCATTTTCTCTGAGTCATATATTTCTGCAGCAATAGTTGGGATTTGAGACGAACTTTGCATTTGGAAGCTTTGGCAGGCAAATTATGCAACCATTCATGTTTCAGACACTGTGTGGCACTCATTCTGCAGCTGTGAAACCAAACAGCAGTTAAGACTCTTAGCTGGGGCTGCTTTTTCTATTGTCTAGAAGCCTGTGCAACTGGGGAGGAAGCCTGAGTCAGTGGAACCGATTAATCATTTAGGCAGATTCATGCCACGTACCAAAAAGGGAACATCTCAGGTCTAAAGCTCCCCTCCTTAAAGAAAGTCCTCAGCAGAATGTTCTCTGCCCTCCATAGAGGAGGCGTATAGCAGTGATTAATCACTGTATCCCAGAGAGAGCTGGGAGCTGAGGCAGATGGTGGGAAGGCCGGCTGAGATTGCAGTTGCTGGGAAAAAGTAAAGAGATGTGACACTTGCCAGGACTGCAACTCATTTCTCCTCCCAGAGATTAATGCCAGCTTGTTTATCTCCATTAGAAATATTTTTCTCTCGCACAATCAGAAAGAAGCAAAACCATGAGAATCAGGGAATTACGACCTGTGTTAGAGCCCAGATTCTTGGACCTCACTCCTAGGTTCTTTACTAAAAAGAGAAAAAAACAAACTCATTGCCATAAGGTTGGTTCTGACTCATAGCGACCCCTCCTTGGGTTTCTGAGGTTGTACCTCTACCAAACCTGTTGCTGTCGGCGCAATTCCAATTCATGTCAGGGTAGAACTGACTCCACAGGGTTTTCAATGACTGTAATCTTACATAAAGCTCCCTGGGTTGGGCAAGCAGTTTTGGCTCTACTACGAACTTGGGAGCTCTGGTAGCATAGTGGCTAAGGCACTTGACTGCTAACCAGAAGGCTGGCGGTTCAAACCCACCAGCCACTCCTCGGAAGGAAGATGGGGCAATCTACTTCCGTAGTGATACTGCCTCGGAAACCCAAGGAGGGGTCGCTATGAGTCGGGGCCGACTCGACGGCACATAACAACAACAACTAACTGGAAAACTTTACGAATAGCAATGCAGCATAGCAAAGATTGTGAGGATAGCACAGGACCAGGCAGTGTTTCGTTCTGTTGTATACAGGGTCTCCATGAGTCAGAATCAACAGCACCTAACAACAACAGCTAACCTGAAGGTTGACGGTTCAAACCCACCCAGTGATGCTGCCTGGTGGTCTGCGTCTAAGCAGTCCCTATGAAGCAGCCCTACTCTATAACACGTGGGGTCGCCATGAGACAGAATCAACTAGACGGTAATGGGCTGTTTCTGTTTTTAGCTATGGAATTAGATTGCCAGGCCTTCCTTTCACAGCACCATTGGGTGGTTTGGGTCCCTCAACACTCAGGTTAGTAAATAAAAAACAAACCTACCATGGAGTCGATTCCAACTCATAGCAACCCTATAGAACAGAGAAGAACTGCCCCAAAGGGTTTCCAAGGCTGTAAATCTTTATGGAAGCAAACTGCCTCATCTTTCTCTTGCAGAGCAGCTGGTGGGTTCGAACTGCTGACCTTCTGATTAGCAACCAAATGCCTTAACTACACCAGCAGGGCTCCTCTATAGGTTGGTGAAAAACCAAAAACCAAACTCACTGCTGTCGAGTCATTTCTGACTCACAGTGACCCCTCCATGGGCTTCTGAAGCGGTATCTCTACAGAAGCAGATTGCCCAATCTTTCTTCCGAGAAGTGGCTGGTGGGTTTGAACCCCCAACCTTCTGGTTAGCAGTCCAATGCCTTAGGCACTACGCCACCAGAGCTTCCCCATTATAGGTTGGTAGTTGAGTGCAAATCATTTGTACCACCCAGGTCATGTATACCCCTGGTTATTTTCAATTGCTTTATGTCTGAGTATGAAAAGCCTCAGTGTAGGTCAACCTTGGCCTTGATACAGCTGCTGAGGACAAAGTAGGCTTCATCACCAAGAAATTTTTCTCTCTTTATTTTGGGAAATAACATCCACATATCTCAACTTTCTTTTGACATTAGTCTATTTAAAGTGATAACTTGGAAATAGGACCATTGTGTAAATATTCTCCTGCTTAAAACTCCAAGTATTATTACTTTTGAGTTAGTTTTTCTTGTCCTTTTCCCTGCTACCTTTATTGCTCCAAAGAAGTGGCAGACTAAGAAATCCTGAACAGAGCCAGTCCATACACAGCCCTGCCCTGCACCCAGTTGCCCTCATCAGCCTGAGTGTCCATAGCACCCACACCAGGCATCCTATTCCAGCGACAAGCAGTAAGTGGTACCTCCTCTCCTTGACTAGCAGCCGGGAAACAAAGTCCTTGGCCTCCTCCGACAGCCCTTCAAAGGTGTCAGCGTCAAAATCCCAGCTACAGTTCACGATGAAATTCATGGTCTCTGCATCTGTTTCCCCTAGAAATGGGGACAACCCACTGAGTCTATGGAGGAGAGAAAGCACCATCAGTATGTAGAAGCCATGTTTGCCAACATGATCAACAGAACCGAGAAGAAACCGACAGTGTTCAAGCAGAACTAACCCAGGACCAAGAGAGTTCAAAAGAAAAGCACTCCCATTACTTCTCCAGAGGAGAGAGTCTGGTGTGTTCTTTAAGAAGAGGAAGTGGAAAAGAATAGAAATTTTGGGGCAGAAAGGATATTCAGAATAGACCCCTGTCATGCTCACCTCTTTTCCCTGCATCCCTAAAATAGAGAGGATGTTGGGCCCAAAATGTCCAGTTATCAGGTATGTATTGGTTTAATACATAATATATAGCTTACTATGTCTCTGAGACAGTCAGACTGGCCTCGGGGGGCAAGGGAAAATCAATTTTTTTTAGACTAAGAGGCAGGACAACCCAACTGACTGGCTTTGGGCCCCTATCTGCTCCGGCCTCATGCAGCACAATCATAAGCAGTTAAGGGACACAGGGTAGTAGTTATACCACAGGCTCAGACTGGAAGCAAAGCATGACTCCATTGGGCCACTAAGGAAATAGCAAAGGAAGTCCACAGTTGAAGAGAGATGAGGATGTTTAGTCTGTACACAAATCTCCCGAAAGCCCATCCTAACTCTGCTTCCTCAGCCCACAGAAAACAGTGAGAGCAGGGCCAGAAGCAACAAAGTTACATCAGATGATGCAGCAGACAGTGTCCAGCCCTGCCCAACCCCTCCTCACCTGTTCAGTGCCCTCTACCCCCTCGTAACTGCCAGCACCTGTATTTCCTTTCTGGAGGGCTCTGTCTCAAGCTGAAGCTTGCTTTACCCACCCAGAGGTGCCAGGGAATTAACAGCCCCCAGGATCAGCCCACAAGTAGTAACCAACAAGAGGTGACATGTAAGTGCTCCTACTTCCTTGCCCTTAGAGGGTGTTACTCTGAGGGGGTGTTCCACCTGGACCCCAGAGTTCCTCAGCAGCACTGAGCCCCAGTTGCTCACGGTGGCAACTGGCTCAATAATCCTTCATGGCCTGCCTTCCCTTTCTTTTCTTACTTCCTCACTTCTTACTGGTATTTCCTGTAACACCCCTTCACCACCAAATAAACTACTTGCACTCAATTCTTACTGCTTCTGAGGGTACCCAAACTAAGACAGATGGCCCTCGTCTCTGCCGGGGAGCCAGGCACTTGGGACACTCACAGCATGTAGGTGATGACTCCCACACTCCACATGTCTGTGGGGAAGGAGACAAACTCATAGTTGACAACTTCTGGGGCCAGGAACTCAGGGGTGCCAAAGTTCACCTTCAGCTTCTCCCGAGGCTTGTACCTGGGGAACAGAGGTGCAGAGGGTCATGGGAGTGTGCCCTGGGAAAAGATAAGGACGCTGGGACTAACTCCTGGGGGAAGGTGGACATTCCCGGACCCTTCCTCACACTCCCATTGCACATGTGGTTTCCTGGGGAGTCATCACGCTCCCCAGGCCCCAAACTTCAGGCTCTCCTAAGTCACTGTGGAGAATCAGAAAACCACAGTCCTCCTCGAGGCATCTGCAATCTGTAAAGGAGAGAAGAGCAATCTATCTTATTTGACGTGCAGCCACATGAATGACCACAAATAACTGGGGTAGAAGCTGGATATGGAGAAATGCTTTACTGAGGTGCCCAGTGTCCTTGGCGAGATGACAGTAAGAATTAGAAAGATCTTTCTGAACATGAAGTCTAATCTAAGCAGGGCTAAGCTTATATCAGCGACCCTTCAAGTAGTGTATTGGAAAATGTTTAACAACCAGCTTTCTGAGAGAAGAAAAAAAAATTACAAAATGGTCTGATTTGTAGCATCTGCCAATGCCTGTGGTGTAGAATCTGATTTCACCAAGCTGATTTCCACCTTCCAGAATGTCCTCAGTAAATGCAGAGTGGGAAGAGAATGCAGCAGCTCACCCTTCTATCATATTTCCACTGTGTAGATATAAAACAAAAAACCAAAACCGAACTAATAACCTCATGAGCATCCAATCCAAACCAAACTCACGACCAGCAAGTCGATTCCGACTCATAGAGACCCTCATTGGGTTTCCAAGGCTGTAAATCTTTACGGAAGAAGACTACCCAATCTTTCTTTCTTGTGGGTTTGAACTGCCAACCTTTTGGTTAGCAGCCAAATGCCTTAACCACTTGTGGTAGTTATATTTGTATGTCAACTTGGCTGGGCCTGGTTGAGTGGCTGGGCAGGTGGTGTTAGTTATTCCCCATGATGAGACTGGCAGTCAACTCCATGGTGGGATCTACCACAAGCAGCTGAGTAGCTGCTTTTGGGATGTGGTCTACTTCCTGTATACAAGGAGAAGCCTTGGGGATAGTCTCTAGCTTATGGCACGCTTGGACTCTGCATGTAGCTGTGTCGTTGTTCAGCAGCCTGCCATGCTCTGCCAACCTGGGGACTTACAATGGCCTTGGATTAATGGCCTACCGTGTGGTTTGGTAACATTGGGACTGTGCCTTTTTATTTGTCAACCTTGGGCTTGTCAGCCTCAGCAGCCAGCAGCTGTCTGAGTAAAGAAAAGCCTCCAGTTTCAGTGGGCCGGGAGCTGGAGGCAGAGCTGAAGCCCAAGGTCAAGGGGCTTTCACCCAGCCCCTAGAGCCTAGCAATTTGAACTTGGACTTAAAGCCTTCAAACTGTAAGAGAATGAACTCCTGTTTGTTAAGGCCATCCCATTTGTGATATATTCATGTCAGAGCAGCACTAGGTAACCAGAATACCACTACACCACCAGAGCTCCATCTCATGAACTTAGATAACAATAAAATAATTAGGAAGTGATGAGCTTTTACTATTGAATATTTGTTTTTAATATAATTTCTCTAATTATAAGTTTATATAGTTTAACTTTTAATAAAGTTGAGTTTAACAACTGGCTTGCAAAACTCTTTATTGTGAGCCAGAACAGGTCAAGTCTGGCAGACCATTCCTCCCGCTGGCCCACAAATGTGTGAATGAGAATAAATGATTGTTGTTTTCAGCACGGAGCTTTGGGATGTTTGGTTAGGTGGCAGTATTGTGTCAATAACTAACTGACATATTCAGCCCAAAGCTGTGTCTAACTGTCCACCATGATCCCCTCCCAAGACTTCAAGCACAAATCCTCTTTGTCCCTTCTTCTTACCTCATAGGGCATAGAGTAGACACCTTTGCCCTGTCGAAGGATATGATGAAATGGGTTTACATTCCAATCCGAGCATGGACTACACCCCACAAGCTGAGAGGACCCAAGTTAACCAACATACTTCCCATCTTGTCCCCAACCTTGACCCTTAATAGCTCTTTGCTTAGATCCACTGCTGGATGTCAGGGCCTCTGAAGATTTGCATTTCCCTTGCTCCCCGCTTCAGCCTTGCACCTTCCAATAATCTCAGCACCTTCTAATAGCCCCACCCATAATACAACTTTATTTTCTGTAGTTTGTATTAGGAGGAAAAATTGGCATTTTCCCCTTTTTACGAACCTTTAATTATTCTGTAGTCTAGAATATGCTTTCTCTAACAGCACTTTCCCCCACAGATCCTTCCTCCTGGGAGGAACACACTTCCTAGTAAGCAGGCCAGTTCATCAAAAATCAAGTGGCAAAAGCCAGTTTGCCAAACAACTCTTTTGCTGAGTGACCACTTCGGCAGATTACTGAAGATGCTTTCAAACTTTGCCCTTCTTCTCACAGCTGTTCCCCTGAACCTGTAGGCTGGCTCCATTGACTGTAGTTTCCCAGAGTTTGACACCTGCACATCTCCAGTCTCACTTTTAAAAGTGGTGCCCTGTGTTTATTTTCTTGGATTTACCCTCTACCTTTAGTCCTGTCAGCAAAATTATTGTCGTCAATGCCCTTGACAATTTAAGGAATCTGTCTAAAAGTATCCAATGGGTTGGCCATTCAGCTTAGGGCGAATTGTTTAGGTAAACTGATTTACAATCCTTTACATCTCCCTGCCTGGCAAGACTTAATGGTCTATAGCATAATCTCCAAAACTCCTGAGCCTAACATTCAGGCCTCCCTGTTGGCATCTATGCCCTCACCCTTCCAGCTCCTGCCTTCCCCCAGATCCACCTGTTCACAACAGATACACATACTAGTCTTAGTCCCATAACTCACAGACCTCTACTGCCTTCCATCCAGGCAATGTTCTAGAGCCGGCTCTCACAGGACCATGAAAGCCGATTATATGTGTTTCTTCCCAACTGTGCATCCAGTGACATCATGTTGGTAGCTTGAAATCAATTATGGCAAAAATTTTTATATCACCAAAATTGGCAAAGGGTACAAATCAACCCTGATTCCACCTCACCCCATCCGGAGCAGTTGTTAAATATTTACCAGCACACCAGTGCCCGCAGCTGACAGAACCTGTCCTTTCTTTCCTTCCAGCTGCTCAGAGGAGCCTGCCCTGACTCCAGGAGCCTACAGAGTTCCTTTTTGCTCTGAATTCAGTGTCTCACTATAAATATTCGTTTGACAATTGGTCATTTGGCATTTGAGGTATACCATATTCACCAGTGCGTACATTCTCACTGAGGGCACATCAACACCAAGGGCCATAGCTATCACCAAGAACTGGTTCTTAGAGAGTTTTTCTTTTCTTTTTTTTTTTTTTTAAATAGATAATAGAATGGCTTGTGGCTCTAGAATGAACAGATACACAACATATCTGCAGTGTGAAATTTCATGGGGAGGGGTGGCAATTAGGAAAAAAAGTGTCTGTAAAGGCTTCTTGGCAACAAGGGGGGTTGCAATAATGAAAAAGTTTGAGGAACACTGTTCTAGTGTATAAGACATGCAAGTGTACAGGATGCATCCCAAGTTTACAAGATATTGTTTGGAAACCCATTAAGCAGTATTTTATGTTATAAATTGAATATGATTTTTTTAAGTATTAGTGTTGGGAGAAATTTTCTTTTGTCCAGGAAATACAGAACACTGTGTAATGGGGATCCTGTGGATACAATAGGATGATAGGAACTTGATTCTCTTGTTACACTAGCGACGTCAGCACTTGGCTTCCCATCCATCATGTGGGACATTGAAAATGTACTTTCACCCCTGAAAAAAGATAACATTTACCATGTTAAACAGTGAGGAGTGACCTAGAAGGACTATGATGGGTAGTGAAATTCCATTTTGCTTCTGAATCCTACCTCTGGAAGGCAGGTGCATGGAGACCAGAGGCTAAGTCCGGGCACGCAGCTCTGCCTCCATGGTAACAAGGCTTCCATTTCTCCCACCCGTGATGGAGTGGAGGATGCTGTAAGGCTTACAACGTAACCAAAACCACTTCTTTGTGGGAAATAACCATCAGGGTGAGAGAGATACTTCAGGAAGAATTGAAAATTCAGGTGTGGTGTGAAGACCTACCTAGAAATAAGTGACTCCTAAGAGACAAGTCAATATTGGTAGAAAGAGAATTCTGGAGGAAGCCTGGGAGATGGGCATACAATTATTGCCATATTTATGGATAGCGAATCCCTGAAGGTTTGGGGAGCCCTCCCAAATTACAAGGATCTGCTACTGTCAATGCTAAGAACCCATACCACCAGGGTGTTTCCCATGGGCAAGAGTCCTGCAGAGGCACCTTTATAAGTACATATAACTGGACAGGACTGGACAGTAAAGCTGTGTACATGGGTTTTTATTACATACAATGTTTAAGTTATGTACTGAAACTTGAGAGCCTACCCACCCTCATAGGACGGGCCCTCATACCCACCCTGTGCCTGCATGTACTGTTATTATATCACTATTTTACCAAGATCCAACCCAATCTGAGTGGCTCCAGGATCACTCATCTATGATCACACTCTATACTATCACTTACAAGCTTTCTCACTTAACTCAGTCATTTCCTGGCAGGCAGAGATGGTATCAGATGCATCACACAGCCCAACACATCCTGGCCCCTGGAGACCCTCTTCAAGGAAGGTCTGAGGAGTGAATAGAATTAAACCACCCAGCACCTTCATTTTTAACCACTTCATTTAACCATCACTCCCCTTTCTGCTTAGACAGGTGGTTTGAAATAGAATTAACTCTAAAGCCATTTAAGGATAAGTACTGCCCAGAGCACAAAGCCACCCTTTGCCTATGTGCGCAGTTGAAGGCTACACGCATCTGAGTGGGGAAGCTTCCCTGACTCAGTCCCCAAACTCCAGAATTGGCTGGTTTAGGGGTAACCATGACCAAAGGAGATGCAAATAGTCCCAAGGAGTTTAGTCAAAGCATCAGGGTAAACCTCCTTTACCTTCTGGCCAGCCCGAAGTCAATGATCTTAATTTGATGTCCTGTCTGATTGACACACAGTATGTTCTCCGGCTGGGAAAGAGAAGATAGCTTCACTCAACAAAGAGCCAAGGAAGTCTGCACTCCCACAATTATTTGCCAATAGGTCTCAGTTTCTCAGGCTCCATGGGGAAGGAATGGCCCAGGGAAGCCCTACAGAGGTTAAGCAGATGATGACAATGAATAAAGTGGGCTGATGTGAGGCAGTGAGAAGTGGTGTGGACCCCGCCGAACTAGAGGACTCCTGCTCTGTGTCTAGGGGAGACCACTGCTCTACTCCTGCTTTGGGTCACCATGCAGAAAAACAGACCCAGTTGGCAGAGTTTCTCATTACTCTAGAGAAGCCAGAAATTCAGATGTTCATATGAAAACTCCATGCTTTGAAATGTTGGCAGCAAAATCAAATGTAAACACACATTCAGAGTGTATGGGGAGAGACCGCCTTCCAGAATGATAGCATGAGGAGCTCCACTAACCTGCTTCCCCAGTGAAACTGGTGAAAATTCTATAAAACAAAAAAAAAACATTCAAAACCTCTGGAAATGGTCCTGAGGGCAATCAGCAAGTGAGGAAACACGTATTGTTGAAAAATCTACAATCGGTAAGAAAGGTCTGTGGTATTGGAAACAAGAGTGCTTTGTCTCTCCTCCCTCCCAGGTCAGCAAGGCCGACTCCACTCCAGATGGCTGCAGCCCGGAGCCAGAGCTTCCTCTCCCTCCAGCTCCTAGCCAGAGGGCTTCTTTCTCGGCAGGAGCAGAATTCCAGTGTTTTTCATCTTGCACCCAGCTGCCTATTGCTGAGGCTGTCTAATGTGAGTGTGGTTGAAGGATGAGGACTCTCTTGCCCAACTTCCACTTGTGAAATAGAGGCTATATTCGGCATGGCATACTGAGGATACTGGCACCCTACTAGCCCTTCCCTCAGCTCATGAAAAGGGGTTTCCATGCCAGGAGGGACAAGCTGACAGGACCCCAGGCTGTCACCCCTCAGTTCATTGAGCGCTCATTTCCTACAGCAGGAAAGTTGGGCACTGTCCCCATTCCCAGCACAAGAGATCTTGGCTTAAAGATTTTTTTTTTTTTTTTTAAATTTTATTGTGATTTGGGTGAAAGTTTACAGAGCAAATTCATCTTCCATACAGCAGCTCACATAAACTTTGTCTCATGACATTGACTGTAATCTCCCACAATGCAACAGCTCTCCTCCCACTTCCTTCCCATAGCCACCTCTCCCCTGTGGCCTTCCCTCCCATGCACTCCTGCCCCCTCCCAGCTGTCTCCTTGTGCATACACAGCCCTTCTGTTCTCCCATGATTGATCTCTCTAAGGAGTGTATCTACCTATGCCTGTCTTCTGTTTGGCTGGAAGCCACAGGAGTGGGTTCAATTCCAGACATGAAGAGCAGCTAGGGGCCATAGTCTCAGGGGTTCCACCAGGCTGTATCAGACCAGAAAACCTTGTCCCTTTTCCTTTTATATCATTTTGAGTTTTGTTCCACATTGTTCTCTCACTCTATCCAGGATCTCCTACATAGATCCCCCTCTGAGTGGTTAACGTTAGTAGCCAGGCATCATCAGTTCTTCTAGTCTCATAGTCGTATAGGCTGAGGATCACATGGTGTACCAGTGTCTTGGACTAATTGTTTCCATGTGTCTTTGGTTTTCTTCATTCTCCTTTGTTCTGGATAAGGAGAGACCCATCATTGCATCTATATGGCTGCTTGCAAGCTTTTAAGATCCCAGTTGCTACTAGCCAAAGTAGGATGTGGAATAATGTTTTTGTGTAGTATGTTATGCAATTGAGCTTGATGTCCCCTGAGACTATGGTCCCAAGCCCACAGGTCCAACTACTTGCTCCCACTGGGTAGCTGGCTGCAGCCAAGAAGTGACTACAACCTTGTCCCTTGTCAGCTCTATTACATACCTAGAAATTCTTACAGAACATACAAACACACTTGTAGAAACATTGTCTGCCAACCCTATTCATGGTCATGGGCACATTCCGCCCTGCATAGACATACCTAATCATTCATTGGCATAAAGATTTTACCTGGGGAGAGAAGGACTAAAACAGATGGCTCATAATTTCTCTGATGGAGCTGGCTTCATTTACAAAAGAATTTGGAAAATTTAAATCTAAGGCTGTCTCAATAGGAGGCTATGATGAAAGCCAGTTAGGAGGAGATTGATGGAACTAATGAAGATACAGACTAGACTCTAGGCTGGCTAATTTGCAGAAAACCAAAACGAAAGGCAGTGATCATCAAGTTGACCATCACTCATGGTGACCCCATATGTGGACAAGAAAACTGTGCTCCACAGGGTTTTCAAGGCTGTGACCTTTCAGAGTCAGAGCACCAGGGCTTTCTTCCAGGGTACCTCGAGGAGGGTTCAAACTGCCAGGCAAATGTTTGTTATTACTGATGATGCAGTGTTGCGTATGCAATAGTATTTACTTCTGTTGTCTATAACTCTTAGGCACCTCTCTGTGTCTCCCTTCTCTTTAGTGATATTGTGCTGCTCACACCCTTTGGTGTATTGTTTTTTACTTTGCCCGAATCACGTGTCTCTTTACTAGTGAGAAATTTTCCCTTCCCTCCCCTTCCATCCCTGGTAATCAACAAAGAAAGTTTCCTTCCGTGTGTAAATTTTTCCTTGGCTTTTTTTAATGGTGGACTCATACATATTTGTCCTTCTATGGTTGACTTATTTCACCCAGCATAATGTCCTCTGAGTTTATCCATATGGTGAGGGGTTTGCGGATTCTTCACTATTCTTTAGTTATATGGTATTCCATCATGTGTATATACCATAGTTTGCTTATCCATTCATCTGTCGACGAGCACTTCAGCTGCTTCCATCTCTTTACTATTGTGAATACTGCTGAGAAGAACATGGGTATGCATATATCTATTCATGTCCCGGCTCTCACTTCTTCAGGATATATGCCTAAGAGTGAGTTTGCTAGATCAAATGTTGTTGTTGTTGTTATGTGCCATTTCTATTTCCATCTTCTTAAGGAAGCACCATACTGATTTCCACAGTAGTTGTACCATTTTGCAGTCCCACCAGCAGTGTATGAGAGTCCCAATCTCTCCACACCCTCATCAGCATTTGCTGTTTTCTGAGTTGTTGAACTTTGCTATTATTTCTGGGGTGAGATGATATCTCATTGTTATTTTGATTTGCATCTCTGTAATGGCTAACGATCGTGAGCATTTCTTTATGTGTTTTTTTGGTCATCTGAATATCTTCTTTGGTGAAGTATCTGTTTACATCTCCTGCTCATTTTTAAATTGGTTGTCTTTTTAATCCTGAGGTGTTGAAGTTTCCATAAATTTTAGAGAAAAGTCTTTTGTTGAATATGTCATTGCAAAATATTTGTTCCCAATCTGTAGGTTCTCTTTTTATTGTTTTGGAAAGGTCTGCTGATGCATGTAAGAATTTAATTTTTAGAAGGTCCCAGTCATCTAGTTTATCTTCTATTGTTTGTGCACTTTGAGTTACCTTTGACAGTCTAGTCTGTGCTATAATTAGGCATAAATGAGTTTGTTCCTATTTTTTCTTGATGATCTTTACAGTTTTAGGTTTTACATTTAGGTCTTTGATTCATCTTGAGTCAGTTTTTGTGTGTATAAAGTTTGGATCTTGTTTCATTTTTCTGGCAATAAATATTCATTTGTGCCAGTAAAAGAGACAATCTCTTCCCCATTTAATGGGCTTCAACCTTTTGTCAAGGATCAGCTGTCAATATGTGGATTTGTCTATTTCTGAATTCTCAATTCTGTTCCACTGGTCTACATGTCTTTCATCATACCAATACCAAGCTGGTTTGACTACCATGATTGCATAGTAGGTTTTGAGATCAGGGAGTGTGAGACCACCTACTTTGTTTTTCTTTTTCAGTAATGCTTTGCTTATCTCAGCTCTCTTTTCTTTCCATATAAACTTAGTGGTTGCTTTTTTCCTGTGCTTGAAGTATGCTGATGGAATCTAGATCAGGATTGCTTTGAACCTATAGATTACTCTGGGTAGTATTGACTTTTTCATAATGTTCCATCTTCCTATCTATGAGCGTAGTATGTTCTTCCATTTCTGTATCTCTTATAGTTTCTTGTAGTAATATTTATAGTTTTCTTTGTATGTATAGGTCTTTTTTGTCTCTGGTAAGATTTATTCCTAAATATTTTATCTTTTTGTCCAAAACCAAACCAAACCAAACTCACTGCCATCGAGTCAATTCTGACTCACAGTGACCCCTTTTGGGTTTCCATGGTGCTAAATCTTTATGGAACTAGATTGCCCAATTTTCCTTGCACAGAGTGGCTGTTGGGTTTGAACCACCAACCTTCTGGTTAGCAGTCAAAAGCCTTAGGCACTACGCCATCTTTTTGGCAGCTTTTATAAATGGTATTATTTTCCTTATTTCCCTTTCAGAGCTCTCTTTGTGGATGTAGAGGAATCCAACTGATTTTTGTATGTTAATCTTGTATCCTGCCACTTTGCTGAATCTTTCAATTAGTTCCAATAGCTTTCTTGCTGAGTCTTTTGGTTTTTCTATGTATAGGATCATATCATCTGAAGATACAGTTTTACTTCTTTGCCAACTTTGACGCCTTTTATTTCTTTTTCTTGCCTTACTGCCCTGGCTAGGACTTCTAATACAATGTTGAGTAGAAGTGCCGGAAGGGCAGGGAGCAGCCTGAAGGTTCAGGAGGCAGGGAAGAGCTCAGCAGGGGTGGGAAAGCCAGTTGCTAAGGTCTGGGGCCCCCTCCACCCCTGTTCACACTGAAGGAGGGAGCACACACAACTTCCAGAAGCGTGGTGTGTGTGTGTGTGAGTGATAGTGGCCAAGGAACACAGGTGTGAAGTGTGTTGAATGTAGGAGAGGAAGGAAGGGCTGGAACCCAGGGCACCTTATGGGGGAGCTGGCAGCCAGGCCAATGGGTGGAGACCAAGAACAAGAACATGGCAGCAATTCTATGCACAGCCTTTCCCCCGCTGTTGTTCCCTGGCAACTATCCCCCCGTGCTTC